GGAGCACCAAGCAGCGCCCTGTGAGAGCTCCCTGGCTCCACTTAGGGCATGGGCTGGTGGGGTGGCAGAGGAGCAGAACCACCTCTGCACAGTTGTGCCTCTCTCAGGGACCCTGAAGGGCAGGGTGGCTGTGGGAAGGCCAGAAGGAGCAGCTGGAGGGAGGGGTGCAGGAGCTGCTGTGAGACCTGGGCTGTGAGGACTTGGTGGAGAGCAGTGGTGGGCAGAGGAGCCTGCACTGAAAGGGCAGAGGAGGTGACATCAAAGAGCACAGCCGTAAGCTGAGAAAAACAGCAACTTTGTGCCTGCACTTGTGTCTGAAAGTGGACAGGGTCTGAGTTCTCTTTCATTTTGAGCCCGAGTTATTCCAGCCCAGTGACTCAATTTATTTCTGTCTCTGCTCCTGACATTTCTCTTTCAGGTGGCTGCTGCATGGTTTTGGGTGGGGCTGTGGGCTGGGGTGACTCGTGTTTTCAAGCTCTTATCGGCATCAGTATGATGTTCTGCTTTTCTTTTCTGTCGTACGGCATCCCGCTCCCCTCCCCTTCCTCCCCTCCCTCTGCCGGCTCCCAGAGGAGGCGACAGACGGTCCTGTAATTTGGTTCCATTCGCTCGACTGGAGCAACACCTGCCCCCCTCTCTGGGGACAGGAGGGTCTCATCCCAAACCGTGCAAGGAGCCAAAGATGAATCTGAAGCTCACATGCAAATAGAGCTCAGGATAAAACAACACGGCCATTCTGGGCAGGAAAGACAAAATCCGTCACCAGGGGAAGAGGCAGGAAAAACGAAATCGCCTCTGAAGAAATAAATAAGAAGCACCAGGAGATTGCCTTTTCCTTTTGGGTCGGTTGCTATTGTGGTTATTGATCTGTCCCACCCTGGAGAATAAACTGAGAGTACTGAAAAATAATGGCTGATATTAGAACACATTTATTCACCCTAAAAGAACTGGGTTAATTGGGTTACAGGATGGCTAGATGGATAGATATGTGAAGATATAGATAGAATGTCTCTGCTATTTCTTCACAGCTATATAATGGAAAAGATCCATTTCTTTGTTGAGTTTCATATACAACATCATCTTCAGCTCCCCACCCCCCATCTCTTCCCAATCACACACACATTCCCTTTGCTAAAATACAGCAAAGATATCAAATCACATCCAAGACCCTCAGAATTTATCTGCTGTTAAGTATCAGAGGTCATATCCTACCTGGCTCAAACACTTTTTAACACAAACACTAAGACACGACTTTGTGGCTGGGGCGTAATGTGATCCTGAATGCACAGTACCATGCACTTTGCTGGACAGTGATGGTCTGTGCCTAGAAATTCTTCCTTTTGTGTGTGCATATGTAATAGCAGCATAAATTCAAGTCTATATTTTGGAATATTTTGTGCTCGAGATCTTTTAATCTCTTAGGAAACTGTATGATACTGAGATACAGTTTCCCCTTAGCTGTACAGTCCTGTCAAAACCATTATGTTTATTTGGAGGAGTTACTTTTGGCTTGCTGTCTGTCCTCGTTTGCTGTATCAGGGTCAGGATCTGTTCCCAGGGTTCAGATGAATGCATTAGCTGCCCTGCTTCCTAATGATACCGTGTGAGCGTGTATTGCACTGTATCCCTGTGAGTCCATATAGGCCTGAAATGTTAGCATGCATTGGATATCCCTTGTACTGGGATATTCTAGGTTCATCTATTAGATCTACTTCCTCCCTGTGAATGCTCTGTAAATGGAGGTTTCCATTCAATGTTTTATATATTTTATATAAGGTTTAAATGTTTCATATATTGTATTCAGTTCAGGCCTAAAGTCCCTCTTTTAGAGTCAGCTAAAGGTCTGGAGGTAGTACTCTGCCTTCTCTGTCTTTGAGTGCACTTTCTGTCGTGGTTTGTAGGATGAGCTCCTCTTCAGTTGTGAAAGAAAGGTATCTGAATGTTGCTAAAATACCAGGAAATATTAACTGTGTCTCTTCCCTTCCAATTGTTGCAATGGCTGAGTGTGATATAAACTTCCATTCAGCAGTTCCAACCCCATTCCTCCTACAGTATTGTCACTCAAGGTCATTCATTCCTTTATTGCTGAGGGAACATAGACACAGGCAAAGTTTGATTATATAATTAGACTTTATTGCTATCTAACCCAGATTTGGAATGAGATGGAGTTAAATTTGTTTACCCTGTCTTCATAAACCCAGACTTCTGAGCACTTAGCCATGCAGCCTTGTTTTTTGCATGGACCTTGTAGCTTGTGCATACTACTCAGCTTCTTAAGAATAAAAAAAAAAGTGTGGAATGTGGGAGCAAAACCTACATTCTGTTTTCAACACTCATCAACTGCTAAATGAGAATGAGCTTCCTTCTTGGTGCCAGCAGGAAAAATAGAAGTAGTTAGGGTGATGTTATGGTGGGGACAGGATTTAAACAAGGTGTTGAGTGTATGGAAGTGAGACAGGACTTGTAGGAAAAAGCAATTTCTTTCATCAGATAAAACTTGGGAAGAAAAGCACATCTCTTCAAGTCAAGTGCCCTGGCCCTTTTGCAGGTTAAACTTGAGATCTGACCCTTTGGATGCCACCAAAAGCAAAGCCCTTGCTGCACTGTGTCTGAGTGCAGTCAGGCTCTCTGTTGTTTCAGGGATGGTAAGAATGGAATAGCCCACAAGATTTTCTGACTTCCTGAGCCCTTCCACATCTCCATGCTGTGCTCTTCTTTGCTCACAATACAGCAGCCTTTCTGGCTTATCACTTGGGCACAGGATCACGTGGCTGGGAATCTGAGACTCCAGCATTATCTCAACCTGTGCCTCTGACATGTGTGTGAGACCCCCAGAAGGGGAAGTCAGGCCAGGGGGAATGTGGGGTTGGCACCTACAACTGCCAGTGACTGCAGCCATCTTACTTTACAGTCAGGTGTGGCAGAGCACTCTCTTCCCCTAAAACATGCATTCCCAGTGGTCAAGAAGGAAATAATATGTTTATCTTTTCATTAACTAAGTCCTCCCAAATGCTGGTAGCATTAAGGCTTTTTGGATGGCAGGATTTATAATATCACTCAGGCAATTACATCAAACTCAACATAGCGCCCTGATATTAAACCTAAGAAACATACCTGTCCCAAAGGAAGCCAACTTCAAAGCTGGAGTTATTTCAGCCCCGAAATGCAGGATTTGAAACCTGTCCATTGAGCTACCAAACCAGTGTGTGCTCCCTTGGGACATGGCAAGCATGTATTTGTAGGAAATGGAATTAACAGTCTCTCTGACAGGTTTTCTGCATGGAGCTTTTCAGCTGGTCAAGACCACACTTAATTAAATCGCTGTGCAAAGTGTCAGCCATAAAAATGGGGTAGAGGGGAGGGTTTTATCTCTCCAGCAAGAATGGATGATGCAGCCACCAGTCAATGGCAGTATTCAAATTATAGGTAAAGTTAACCCCTTGTGGTAAACGAGGAAAGGGTTTAATAAATGAGACAGTCTTACATTGCTCGGGTAATTTCAAATGACAAGATTTGGCAATTGAAGCCTTGTATGAAAGATTATGATTGAGGTTTTCTAAAGTAGGGAAGGGGCACAAGATTTTTCCTCAGTTTCAGTAGAATAAGACCTGGCCAGAGAGGGATCAAAGCTGAATTTAAACAAGAGAAAGAAAACCCAGTGAACTCATGCAGGACACAACACATACATTTGAGTGGCAAAGCCAGACATTTCAAGGAGTGAGGTAGCAAAACAGGTGCTTGCAAGCGTCAGATTGGACTGTACAACTTGAACTTTGCAACATGTGACCAGATGCCAGTCATGATGACACTGGGAGAAAGTGACAGCAAGGGTTCTGTGTCTCCCTTGAATTTGGGCAGGGCAGCCAGCCGAGAGCAGCTGGAGCAAGACAGCTGTCTGTGATGGAGGGACTGCAGTCCGAGTCTCCCTAGGAAGAGGCAGGTAACCTGTTGAAGCTTCCCACACACGACTTGAGAAGCCTTTGTAATCCTTATTCATAAAGGACATCTCATGTCTGTCTTACAGAAGGACCAACAGGGAAAAATAATTAGGAAAAAACAGCTTTTATTTGATACTTTTATTTATATGCAAAACAGCTCACCATTCATGAGAGATATGAAAAACGCATCAGATAGAAACCAGATTTATCTATTTTCACTACAAAATATTGCATTATATAAAGCAACATAGACACACAAAAAAACCCTGAAAAAGACTAAAATCTTTGGATAGCAGATGTGGTTTTTTTTTCTTTTTCTCTTTTGTTCCCTAAAATGCGCTTCTTGTTTTAAGAGATTCACAGCAAAGAACATGAAACATTTTCAGGTTATAGAATTTTTTTGGTTGTCACAAAGGAAAGCAGTCCTGGATTTACTTTTCTTTCTTTTTTTTTTTCTTTTTTTTTTAGGAAAAAATGTCCTTTCCTAAAAATATACCACACACATACACACCCACGCTCACTCCCACACACATGCATGTGTACACGCACGCACATATACACCCACAAAGAAACTACTTCCCTTATAAACGATTTGCAAAGTACTTTTCAGACGCAACTATAGATCAGAATAACAACAAGTTTTTAAAAAAAACCTCTCCTAGTTAAGTGCTAGTGGTTGTTGATCCCACACAAGGAAAGAAAGAAAAAAGGTCAAGAACAAATGCCTTGATATATATAAAATATACTTATAAACAGGGAGGGAGGGGAGGTTTGTGGTACACAAGTGCAATATAATTGGAGGGGAAAAATAAATTATAAAGAAAATCAAATGAACACTGTATTGATCCCAACAAACACTCATAAAGTCAAACATAATATTCCACAGGAGAAAGTGTAAACACCCGACTATAGAAACCAATTGGCACGAAGTATCCAAAGTAAAATTGCCACCACTCTGAAAAATAAATAAATCTTGAAAAAAATAAATTGTCAACTCCTTCTACCATAAATAAAAAATAGTTATTTTTAACTGCACCCATGGGTCACACGTTTAAGGTCACAAGTAGATGTTTTTGGATATATATAAAGGGGCACTTGACAGCCTGAAGAGACAATCCTGTTTTACGCTTCTCTTCGAAAAGCGGGCTCTCGGCCGGGCGGGAGCCCTCCGGGAGGAGCACAAGCAGCGGGGACCCCCGCCCGCCCCGGGGAAGGCGCTGCCCGCCGCGGCCGGACCCGGGGCGACGGGACCGGGGGTCCCGGGGCTCCGGGCGTCCGCCGGGCGCTACACGTCCAGCACGTGGTTGAGATAGGAGATGTAGCAGATGGCGAGGCGCAGGATCTCGATCTTGGAGAGCTTCTTGTCGGGGGGCAGGGTGGGCAGCAGCTTGCGCAGCTCGGCGAAGGCCAGGTTGAAGGCCTCCACGCGGATCCGCTCACGCGTGGCGTGGGCCGAGCGGTACTTGGCCGTGGCGCGGCGCCGCCGGCGCTTCTCCTCCCGGCTCAGCGGCGGCGGGTGCAGCCCGGGCCGGCCCCCGCCGCGGCTCTCCCCGCCGCCGCCGCCGCCGCCGCCCCGGCCCTCGCCGCCGCCGCCCTCGGCGGGCTCCGGGTCGGAGACGCAGCAGCTGAGCGCCTGGGCGTCCGCGCCGCCCAGGGACTCCGGGTCGGAGGGCGCCGAGGAGGGGTGGTCGGAGTCGGCAGCTTGGTCCGGGCTAAGCATCATCTTGGAGGGGGCGGAGGAGCCTTCCCGAGACAGAGAAGCAGAGAGAGCGGGTCAGGGCCCCGGCCCCGGGATACAGGGGCAAGGCGGGGAGCAGGGACGCGGGCAGGGACACGAGGGACATGCCGGTCCCCGCGCCCTACCCCCGGCGCCGGTACCGCCCGACCGGGGCGGGGGGAGAGCCGGGTGGACGAGTTGCGGCTCCTTCAGGGAGTACTAATGAGAGCAATATCGGGGATAAACGATACCCCGTCATTTAACCATCCCTTCTCTAGCCTTTGACGGCAGCTTCAGTGGAATATCCTTCCTGCCGTTATTCCCTGCGCTTCCTTGGATGTTGAAACAGGCCCAGAGAGCAATAGAAGATTTTAATTTTTTTTAAGCAAGCTAATATCCAGTGTTTCAATAATATGGTGATTCCCCGCCCCCCTTCCCGTCCAGGCCCCCAATTTTAATATTGTCCTTTCTAGCCTGCCAGTTTCTGCTTAACAGTTTCTCTTTCGGAAACGCTCTGTGGGATCCAGGCTACAGACGTGATACTTTTAAATACACAGCTCAAGGCTCCATAAATATAACAAGGCCAGTGGGGAGATTTATTTCCCCAATCCCTACGGGATCCGATGTGTCTGCTAGGCTCTCCCCTCCGCTCTTTTCTCTGTGCTCCTTCTTTTTTTGTTTTTATTTCTTTCCTTTCCTGCTGCTAATCGTGCAGATAGCAATTTGCTAGCGATCAAATGGGAATGTTTGGAGAGTTTCCGTTTTCTAAGCGTCGGATTCAAAAAGAAACAAAACCTCAAAGCAGAGCCCGAACTTTTCCATCCCTTTAAATTTTCCCTCCTCTCCCCTCCCTGCGCGAAAAGAGGGGGAGGCTAAATAAATAAATAAATAAATGCGGACGTGCCTTTCAAAAGAAAATTGAATCGTATCTTCTTGCGGCCTCACAGAGCACCATCTGTCATGTAGACAGCAATACAAATCCGAGCGCGTCCGTGGACATGCCGGCATGTAATAAAACAATACATCAGGCAACTAGTGAATAACCCTGGACACAAATGTATGTGTGTGTGTGTGCGTGCGTGTGTGCAGCTGGGGTGTCGAGCGAGGTGGGGAGCGAGCCCGACGGAGGAGGGAACATCGCATCCTCCCTTCTCCCGAATTAAGATTGCAAAGTATTTCCACATAAAGTTTCCAGGGAAAGTCCCAGATGGGCCTCAGAGCCGGTTGGGAAAAATAAACGATTATTATTGCTGTTGTTAACAATAATAATGATAACAACCACATGAGCAGGAGGAATTCTCCCCAGGCAGGGATAGAACCAAGCCTGTCCCCAACGGGGCGAGACGCGGGGCACGCGTGGCGGGGCAGAGGGGCTCCGCCGGGGGCCGAGGCTCAGCGCTCCCCGGGGTGCGCAGGGAGCCAGGACTGGGCAGTGGGAGAGAAGAGCTCTTCCTTCTCTGGGAAAGGGCCGTCTCTTGCCAGGGCCGTCGGAAACGCTTCCTCTTCGATTTTTAATAAGGAGAGTTAATCAGGCCCACAAGGCAGGGGTAGGGAAAAAAACCCATTAGCGCGCAAGTCAGGTATCAGTGATCTCGTGGGGCAAAAAGATACAGAGGAAGGGTTTACAATCACCTTTCACCTGGCATCCAAGCGAGGGGGCTTATGCAAAAAGCACGTTAGAGAGGCAGGATTTGCAGGGCGATTGTACAAAAATGGGCAATTAAAGCGGTGGTTCCTGAAGAAAGTTGCTTAGAGGTTTCTCTACCGGTGTGTGTTGAATTTTTCGCTTTGATTTGGATTTATCTGTGCGGTGGGGTTTGGCGAGCTGATCTGTAAAGAGGCTCTTTCCCCCCTCCCCCCTCTCTATTAGAAAAAAAGTTATTATTATTATTATTATTATTACTATTACAGTAAACCCTGCCCCCTGCTACCTGCAGAAGGGAAATAGATTGTTAAGGATTGTTAAGGCTGCTTACCTCGGTGGAGTCGTTTGGATAGCCTCTCTCTCCAGGTCCCCTCGCCCCCTCGGCGATTCCTTTACAGTTCAAATGACCCTTCGGGAGCGGAGCATGGAAAAATTAAAAAAATCAAAATCAAATAAAATTAATTACGAGCGAAAAAGTGTCCTGCTCGAATGGGGAAAGGCAGATCTCATCCCTCGCCGCGGCCTCCAGCGCTCCAGAGATGGGAGATGTTATACTGTCGTGTTTGTTTGCGGAGTATAAATAACAACTTAAGTTACTTACGATGCATCAGGGGAGAAAAAGCGTTTCCCCATCAAAGTCCTCCTCCGCCCGCTTGTCCGGGGCAGCGGCTTCAGCGCACCGGCGGCTTCGGCCGGTCGGTTTTAGAGGAGGAAAGTGCCCTCTCGCCCGCTTTTCTTCCTCCTCTTCCCCGACCGCGATAAATAACAAAAGGGATGCGGCGACAGCACCGGCACCGTCCGGGATTATTCCCTCTCTCCCGCCCCCTCAGCCTCTCCTTCCCTGCGGCAGCCCCGCCGCTCCCGGGCCGGGCCGGTGGCGGGGCCCGGGGCGCGGAGCCCGGAGCCCGGGGCGCGGAGCCCGGCGCGGCGCTGCCGGCTTTGTTCCGCCGCGGCCCGGCGCACAGGCACGCCGCGGGTCGGGGTAACAATGCGTCGCTCCCTCCTTTCTTCTCTATGCTTTTTTTTTTTTTTTTTTTTTTTTTTTGGGGGTGGGGGTGGGGGTTGTAACGTGAGGTTTTGTTAATTCACCGGTCCGGCGGAGAGGGGCAGGAGCGGGGGAGACGCCGTCGGAAAATGAATGTTTGGTTTAGTTCTTCTTCTGGTCCTTCAAGAACTGGCGAGGGGAGAAAAAAAAGGATAAACGAAACCCCCATCCGTCCCTGAGCTTCCTAACTCCTCCTGCATCTTTCGAGTGAAAAATAAAGGAAAATATGCGAAGGCTGAAAAAGAAAAACAAAACGAAATAAACGAAAATCTCGGCGCGGGTTCGGAGCGGCTGTGAGAGATAACGGCGGTGCAGGACAAGGTACGCTCACATGCATAAAAAGAAAGTGCAGTTCCTCCTCCCACCCCTCCCGGAGTGGCAAAGAAGCCAAGGAGGGGTGCGGAAGGTGGCAGGGGCGAAACAGACAGACGGAGCGGAGATGCGTGTGGCTCCACTTCTGGTACCAAAGGGTTTCGCCTAGAGATGGTCGGAAGAGATAAAGGCTCGGAGAAAAGGGGGCGGCATTTTTTCCCTCTTAAATTGGTATTTAATGGGAAAGCCTATTGGACAGAAACCTGGACACGAGTCACTTAATTGGACTTGACATCTGTCACAGTGTGGGAGTTTTCACAGCCCAAATATTTTCAGCAGATCAGATTCTCGCTGAATCTGTGCCACAAATTATAACAGTCGAGAGCAGCCCATGATATAAACCCTAGCCTCTGGATATACAGTCTCTAGCCATGCTCGCTCCCACTGCCGTTGTCTCCCCCCGCCCAAATATTGGATACCCACTGATCTAGAAAAACACCGCTGGCATTTTGCATGTAAGCTAATAAATAAGCTTTAAACATCAATTTGCATCATGTATACCAAGCTTGTGGAGAATCATCAGACTGGTTTCTTAGTTCTTTTATTTTGGCAGTCCCCCTGCCCTGTCTCCTACCCACCCCCAATCCCAGTGCATGGCAGGCATGGACCTGTCAGAGCCAGGGGGACAGAAAGGCTCCCTCATTCCCTGTCTCCTGCCCTCCCTGCTCCAGTGCACAGACAATGAGGCGAGGGAGTCAGCCATGAGTCTGTGGCTTTCCTGCTCTCAAGAGACTGCATGGAGCCAGTCCCCTTCGTGCCTGAGTCAGGGGATGCCTGTGACCAAAGTGACTCCTCTTGCTGTCACCCTGCTCCAGCCCCTGCCAGATGGCAGTGCCTTCTCTGCTCTGATCCCCATTACCCTCCCTGCAGATCCCATCAAATGGGAGCCATAGCCACTTTTCTGGGTGTAACCATGTTCTTCCATGGGGACTTTTCTATGCCAGGAGAATAGGCTCCCTTTGGAGCCCCCAAAAAGGGACAGCAGGAGGGGTGGGTGAGACAGAGCAGAACTGATTCTGCTGCTCACCAGCAGCTCAGTAGGTGGTTCCGGGTCCCATCAGTAGGAAGCATGGGGGAGAGGTGGCAGGAAGACATTTGCAGGATCCCTGAGGGTCATCCATATGCAACAGACTGGAAGATCTCTGAAAGGGGAGAGGTTCTGCACTTGATGTGATTTACAGGACCTTAAGAAGAATGAGTAACATACCTGAGTAATTTTGGGTTTTGTCTATTTTTTTTTTGTAATGGTGGATACTGTTGCACAGAATATAACGCCCCTGCATGACACCTGACCCACTAGGGAAAGAAATGCCTGAAACTGGATCCTAATGAGCACTTCTCCCAGGGAAAACTGGGGACTTATCTCTCTTCTCCTACCCATAATAAGTCTCCAAGGCAGCAGGAGGCTATCACTTGCTCTGACCCCACATACTGGCACTGGTTGCATGGATATCCAACATGATCTCAGCAGGGCTTCTGGAGATTCTTGGCTAAGCTATCCTTGCCTGCAGTGGACATGCCAGGAAGATTCAGATGCAAGTCACTGAGGCTGTGGCACATCCCCAGTCAGCCCACCTTGCTGGTAACCTTCACAGGTGCTCTTTGGAAATCAGGATCTGAGCAGTTCAAGGTCACTGTGCTCCACATTCCAAGACCCAAGATCCCATTCCCAGACTTCAGTGAAAAAGCTGTGGAGGAGACCTTCTCCAGCTCTTTTCTGACTGTGGCTCAGTGCTGGGGGCTTTGGCTTGCAGTGCTCCCCAAGGTGTAAGTCTGAGGCCTCAGCCCACAGAAGCTGCAGGTGATGGAATAAGTAGCTGGCTAAGGCTGCCACAGATAACAGCCAGGAAGCTGCTAATTCATGCAAGCCACCCTGCTCTCTGCTACAGATGCTGTCATCATATGGCTTGCTTTTTAGTTTTAATTTTTAGGAAAAGACCACACAGTTGCTTCACAATTCTGTTCTGTTACGATGGACATTTTTGACACCTTGTAAAGCACCGGTTACTGCCCCTGGGATTCCATTACCCCACTGCTCCACTACCAGATGTGTTAAATCTCGAGGATTCCAGTTTGCCCTGGGCATGCCAGGCCTGGGGTGTCTTCCCAAACCTCTCTGCTGGGATACTGCAAATCTTCTCAGATCCACTGCAAGACACAGGGTGTAGTCTGTATCTATAGCCTTAAAAAAGCCAGTCAGAAATGCTGGAGCTGACAGCCTGGCTCTTCTTTGACCAAATAAAGCCCCAAAGCCCAGAAGCAGGGCCAAACTCTCCCAGCAGAGAGCTCTCCTGTCTCTCACCACTCACACCTAGAGCAAGAGGCTGGTTTTGAGAGCTCAACATGCTTGGGGCCAACTGGCCCAGGCATGGAAATCACCAGATACAATCAGAAATTCAGGGACAAAAGTGCATTTGATGGAAACTAAAAGTTTCACTTTGACAAAGGAAGGATGACTATAGCTCTCCTTCAAGCTCTTTTTGTCTTTTCTCTAGGAAATAGCTCACAGCAAGTGGAGACCTGCATGTTGGCAATCAGTATGGTCCCAAAGGAAGCTGCATGGATGCAAAGCCACCTTATGGTTTATATCCCCAAATACACACAGAGCCAGTCACAAGTCTATGCTTGGCCTCTTCACTAAGCAAGCACCTCATTGGCATCAAGGCAAGCTAAGATTCCCACATGGTTTCAAGGATGCCCTCAATGGCATGAACAGAATTGATTTGGCTTCTCCATAAAAGATGGAACTGCAGCCTACAAGCTGCAC